TCCACTGGTTCGTCTTGCCGACCAGTCGTTGATGAAAGCTCATCGATCTTTTACGGAATTCACTCCTCCTGCTCTGTTATGGGACTCATTCTGGGTCCCCGCAAGCAGCGGCAGATTTGCTAGTAGTGTAGGCAGATTACAATTACGATATTTCCATTTTCTATTGCCCCTGCCGGTAATGTTCGTCTACCAGCAACTCTACTGCTGCTGGCGCGGCCTCAGTGTGAGTCCCAAGGAAGAACATGACGAGTTAATTCCGTAAGCGATCAAACGGCATTCATCGGTGAATGGAATCTTAATTGTTCCAACCACTACACCCATGGGGTCTCAATTTTCATACCATCTCAAAAGAGCAGGCGATGATGGTTAAGAGTGTTAGTGCCGTGTAAATATACCTCACCAAAAAAATTAGCTTATGCGGAATTTACCTGTACACCTCCTCAGGATGAACAACTTCCTTTGTGAGTCAATAATTTTACGGCCTATCGGACGCCCATGGAGCGGAAACGATTTTTTCTGCGTCTCGCTGCGTTTTTATTCTTAATTTGCTGTGGTGGTGGTGGTGTCTGCAATTTTTTAGGCAGCCATCGACGATTGTGTCTTCACTTTGGCAGCGACATTGAAACCCTTTTTTCTCAAACCCACAGATGGACACTTAAGCTCTGGAAGTCACTCGCCGAGAGCCAGTCACCGTCATCTATCCTTCCAGCCTCAGAAAACGAGGTTACTGCAGGGGTAGGTTATCTGGTCTCTTCTGTCGTTCATAGTATTGAAAATGTGATTCCCAGGTGGTATGTTCAAAGAATGGGAGGTGTTCACCAGGAAATCGGTTTACTAAATTTTTAATTTTTCAGACAGTATTTTCGTCCGTCAATCTTAAGAGCCTGGAAAGTCGTGTTAACAGCTCTCACTATACGTTGCTCTTCACCTGCTGCATCGCCTACCAATATCGACTGTCGGGCTGCATCGAACCAACCGACTGTGAGGGTGCCTTGGCTGCAGAGATCATTGGCACGTCGTGACTGACTCCTGTCAAGAAGGTTTGCGAAACCTGATAGTTGACTGAATAGTCGATAGACATCCAGGCTTCTTCTACTGCCCCTGACATATTATACACGCCTCAGCCAAATTTCTAACGACGTCAATAATTAGGATGCGCTGCATCTGTGTAATAAGGTTTGCTATCCCCTGAATTTGGGTTCAACCTTTGTACGGCCAAGTGATGCTCATACACTATTGTTTTTAGCTGTCGTCCAATCCACCAGCATAGTTGCACATCCTGTAGCTGCACTGAAGTATACAATCGAGGGTACCACTAGTGTCTGCGGCAAACGATGTGTGGGTTGACCAAGTCATAATGAAAAAAAAACAGGGCAACGCAGCCCCACTATCGGTCGCGGAGCAGCGGTGACATAAGACACGATGAGACGCAAATCCGACGCAGTCTGACAGTTGGTATTGGTAGTGCACACCCAAGACAGATGGCGGCATACAGTGGGAGCTGTGGGCACGACTTAGTTTCTAAAGATCAGTTGGTGAAATTACTACCCGAAACGTGAGACATTTACTAAACCCTTCTCTCGGTGAATGCTGTGTTAGTGCGTCGGAGCCGCATCTCACTTTAACTTCTTTCTTCGCAACCTGCGTCTCACTATGGCTTGTTTAAGCCCGGCCTTCAATGGCCGTGAAACTAATTAATGGCGCCGATTGCTGAACGCCGTGGCGGTTTCCTTACAAGAAGGTTTGTTTCAATCAGTCATCGTTGACCGTCTCCTGATTAGAAGTTTCGTGAAAACAGACAAAGGTAGGCAAATCGAAGTAGCCGTTG